ACAGTAATTTATTGTCAAATGAGCCTATTGAATATACTGATTGAATAGAAGGTGCTTTAAAAGAAGTCTCAATGTTAGAAGCTTAATCTAATTTTTTTACAAAAGTTGCATTTCTATGCTATTAATTAATTAAAGAAAAGAAAGAAAATTACCTTTGGCAACCCGTAGTTTATATATTCTTGAAGTTTTCAATTGAATTATAAGATTAAATCTAACTAAGCTTAAGGTATTCACATTGTATGAATCGATATAAATCAATAACTTTATATGCCATTTTTTCGACAAATCCAATTTTAAAAAACTCATAACTCAGTCAAAAATGCATACATTTTAATTCGGAAACCTGTCTTATGTTAGTTTTTATTAGGTTAATAAATCTGCATACCCAGTTTGTAATTTTAGAAAATGAAATTTTTGTCGATTTTTGACAATTTTAATGATGTAACCCTTATAAAATTTTCAAATTTTGAAAAATTTCAAAATATTATTTTTTTCAACATGTCTAGATCGATTCAGCTGTTGATGCTGATCAAGAATATATATGATTTATAGGTCGGAAATGACTCCTTCGTGTCGTTTTCATCTTGTGACTGAAAATATAAAACCTTACAAGGGTATACACATTTACTTGCTTTTCACTCCCATTTTAAGTCCTAATTAGTTGTTAAAAAGCTGAAATCATTGCCAAAATTCCTCTTATAACTTTGCAATTATTTCATGACCCGATTGAAAGTTTTATTTTTCCTTGCCGCATTCGCTTTCCCGCTACGTACCACGTTGCGTATGAGTAATGAGCACAAGCATTCGATTTGGCGCTCTTGAAACGATGCCAAGCGTGCTCAGACAATGGACCATTGGCGTTGTTCGGGGGCAAGGAAAATCGGTTAAGCGGGAAACGGGGAATGGAAAAGCACAACTAGACGCAGACACAGACGCAGTGACGGCGAACGGACAAAGCCATTGCCAAAATAGCAAAGTAATTGCAAATCGCCAAAACTCGTGTGCAGTCAGAGCGTAGGAATGTACGTACTATATAAATAATTCGGGACCTCCTGCCCGAGAGATGTATTTATAGTGCTATATGTGTATACGCAGATTGATATAGTTTCGCACTTTTCGGCAAAGTAAAGTTCTTCTTGGTTGCCTGGCGTATGCTGATTACGCATACGCACTGTTGTGCAGACGCAGCTAATTAAAACGGGGAAAACCCCACCTTCCTCCCCTTATTTGCGGACGCGTGTGCGCCTAATTGTTAGCAGAGTGCACTCCCCCCCACTACCCCTCGCTCAGTTACTTAAATGTAATTGCACACAAGTGCAATTAAACAGCTTGACACACGCGGCGCAAATTTCCACGCTGGGAAAAAGTCGGGTCGGGAAAACTGTCAGGTCGAAAGGAGCAGCAGTGCTGTCTACTTGGCCGTTAATTCCATTAGGGAATATGCATTTACCCGGTCACAGTTTACTCCTTACAGAGGGGCACTTGTTCAAGGACAGAGTGGAATTAACTTAAAAGTTTCCCTTACTCAATTATCCCACCGAAATGTATTTAAAGTTTTAATTCTTTACTCAAGCTCCTTAAAAGTCAGGGTAGCTTTCTCTTCATATTAAACTCAGGACCTTTTCAAGAGGTTTTCCTCTTTCCCATTTAATGCTACACATTTTATTTACTATATACACTTGCAATTATTTGATGGTTTTATCTCTTTTGTTCTTCGGTTAGGCATCACTGGCATCGGCCACCTCCTTGGCCATTTCTGCAGTTTGTCTTGATTCATCTCCGGCCAGAATCGCCTCCAAGTCGTAAATTTTAAATGGTTTTGTAGGTCATTGCTGCCGAGATGGAAAACGGAGCGAAAAGCGCAAAGGACCAAGACCAAAGTTTGATCTGAACTTTTGCCAAGTGAGTCTTTTGAACTGCAAACCCCTCTCTCACTTTCTCACTCTCTTATTTCTTCTTCGAAATAAAGACGAAGCGAAATTTATGCGCCCGGCTGCGTCGGTCAGCGAAATGGCGCCAAGGTTCAAAGCACCGAACAAAGGTTGGGTGGCCACTAAGTGGCCCACTCCTTTGGCCACATGATTGGTTTGGGATGGCGTTTCCCCTTTCCGTCATGTTGCAGTTTTTCCTGGCCTTCAGCCGGAGCTGCCCTGGTTGGGCATTCAATTTTATTGCAAATTGTTTGCAACAGTGTTTGAACTTTTGCTTCGGAGCCTCCGTATTTTTGTTTTTCGGCCATGCAAAACATGTCGCAACGTACAAGGCACCGGAGCCATAAAAAAATGTTGCTGCACTGCAGCCTACCAAGGGGGGAGGGGAGGTGAGGGGGAGAGTGGTGTGCGTACACGGGAAAGTGTTTGCCCATCACGTATACGAAATGTATAACGTTGAGGTAACAACAAGCGAGGGTTGCTACGAAAATTTTACAACGTAAAAGGTTTAAACTTAAAAGTTAAGATAAATAAATGTATAGTAAACTGTAACCCTTATAAAATTAAATAATTATACAAGTAAATTGTAAATTGTTTCAATTAATGATTTACTTTTTAACCTTATTTAAAGATGAATACTTTATTTATACATTATGATATGCACTTTCTCTAAATAAACATAAATATCATAGGAACTTCTCATATAAGGAGCATATGAAATACTTATATATACCACTATACATATTCTACGTTATATTATAAATTTAATTAATATTTTGAAAAGTCTTATTACACTTTTATACTTAATATATTTCTTATTATCTTCAATCATTAAGTCATTTCTAATCACTTCTAATCTTGTTCTCTTGCCTTATTTTCAACTTCAAGTGAAACCAAAATCCCTTATTATTCACACTTGAAAATTCCCCATTCATTATGCTGATTTCCTGAATGATTGCAACCAAAATCCTCAATCGCATGTGCAGCTCATTCAAAATTCGAATTACTTTACAGCCCTCGAGGAGCAGACATAGACATGAAGTCACTTATTGCATGCATTTGCCAAAAACAATGCACACTCGCTCACACACACACACACACACACACACACATACACAACACACACTCAGAGAACCGACAAGCCATGGCAAATTTACAGACAATTCGCAGTGCTCCAAAGTGCAGAGCAGCGAAAATGTTCAGTTTGGATTTATTGTTATGCGAATCTGTATTTCTATATATAAAAATATATATATATATATATGGAAACATGTATATATATAAATATATGTTGAATATGTATAAAGAGAGCCCCGCAAGTGTGTGTGTGTGTGAGTTGGCAATGCGGTGCAATGCATTACAATTAATTTGGCACACACGGCGTATGCTGAATATTATTTGGTTCAACGTTGCTTTCGGCTCTGCAATCGAGTAAATCCGTGGCAATTGGCAATTATACAAATTCTCTTCATAGACAATTGCCAGTGCATATGCGAAATGGACCCGGAGCAGGGCCTGAGGAGCATTCAAATATACATATTTATGTGTACATAAATGTGGGTGGATGTGGAAAACCCATCCCTGGGCATTGGTGATTGATGATTCGACCTCCGATGATGTGACAAAGTGGCAGCTTCGTAAATGATTCAACCCACTGGCGAGAGGTGCTTCGAGGTCAGGTCAAAGGTCTGTTGAACTTTAAATGCCGCTGCGACATTTACATTTGAGCTTTAAATTCCACAACCAGGAGATGGATGGATGCATATGAATTACTGTCAGCTTGCCACACACTGAGAGATATGCTTGAAGAACAAGTACATACTATTAATAATAAAAGGTATTAGGATAGGGAAAGTATTAAAGACTTCAAATATTTGTAGGGAAAAGCATAGCAGGGAAAGTCAGGCAATATCCCACAAAAATGTCGGTATGACTTAAAAAGGATAGACTTATGTGATGATTGCTTAGTGCATATGTCTTTAAAATACCTTAATTAATAAGTGATGTGTTTTCCTAATATAAAAATAAATACAATATAAATTTGCTTTAAAAGAAACCCGTTTTTAAATTGTCCACTAAATAACTCTTATCGATTCTCCAAGTGTACTCACCCATCTAAATGTCACCTAAAAGGAGACGGCATTTGGGATGGCTCGGTGGCTATAGTTATGGCAGCACAAGGAACCTGCACCGGCAACCTGCGCCGCCGCCTCCAATGACGATGATTGAGCTAATGGCACCACTGACAGCCACAAGCACATGGAAAGGCGACAGGCGGGCGGGGGAGGAGAGGAAGGTGGTCGGGTCTGCAGGTGTCACAACAAAATAGGGCGCACGCTTTTCATGTATCAACTCGTTCCGCACATTCCACCATGGGGGAATCCGGATCCCATCCAGAACTTCAAACGCTTGGCGGGCGCTTCGTTTATTTACACAAAATTAGTTTATGGCCGATAGAAGAACGGGAAAACAGAAGCCATTCGCAGGCACTTAAAAAGCGCTCCGCGTTTATTATTTCAATAATTCCCAATGTTTTTCGGCGGCTCTCTTTGACGCACAACCGAGGATTCCGTTTGGATCCGTATCTGTATATCTGGGCAACTGCACCGTGTGACTCGGAGGCGGCAACTAAGCGAATCGAAATCTTCTGGCTCTCGCACATCCCAGTGCCAAGTGCACGCCACCCGTTTTGTTTATCCATCTGCTGCTCCGTGTGCGTGGACCCGTAGGTGAGCGTTATTAATTGCAATAAACGGTGCCGGCGTGGGTGTGATTTTATTTCTTCGTTCGTCTGCTTTTTGACTGCGTGTAACCGATTCCAATTTCAAATAATTCGCGCCGCCTCGTCGGCTATCGATTGTCTATCGATGAACGATAGTTTTAGGCTGGGATATATTCCAACTGTGCAACACTGGCGGCTTAAAATTGATTTTTAAATAATTTCTTATAAAATAAATATGTACTGGTAACTTAATCTAACACTAAGGCACAAAATATATGGTTGAATAATTATATAATAATAAATAAACTCTTTAATTTGATATTTCAAGAAGACTTATTCTCTATTTGCTTAGTCTGATTAAACAATATTTTCAGCTTAATACTATGTGTTTATAACTTATTAATATTATTCGCTTTACTCACAATTAACTAATAGGAACCCCAATCATTACCGCACTTCTTCAGTTGAATAGCTGGCAGGGGGCCACATCCTCAATATCCTCCCCATCCAGAGCCTTGATCTGACACTGGCACAGGAACTGCACAATCTTGCGCTCAGCATTCGAGCGCTCTAAGGGACTCAGGCCATCCAGCAGCATCTGAGCCTTGGCCAGAAGGCTGTTCTCCGGCCCAGCACTGCGCCGCTCCTTCTCCTGATCCAGCTGATCCTGTTGAATTTGAACCTGCAGCTCTCTCGACTGCTGCAGCACAGTTTCCATATTGGCTATCACAGTGCTCAGGAGCTTGTCGGCGGTGGCAGTTGGTGGGAAGTCATCGACGAGGGAGGACAGCTCCTCTCCGGTGGGATGGCTTCTATCAAGTGTGTGAACCATCTCTTCGCTCATCGCTGGCGTCGTAGTGGTCACCTGTAGCTGCTGCGGTGGCTCCAATACCTGAGATTGCGTGGCCTCGGTGAGAATGAAGTCGTAGGGCGTAGTCTGCTCTGCCTCGGAAATGATCTCGATTTCCTGGCTATCGTCATAGGGCAGCTCCAGCTCATCTTCCATGTCGTCGTTATCCGTGCTGTAGGGATAATCGGCACCCCAGATTTGCTCGCCACTCGAGATTTCCATGACTGTTCCCTGCTTTGCGGGATTGCAGGGAGAGTTTGTTGACTTGGGCGGTCGGCCACGTCGTTTGATATTCTCCAGGATCAGCGGTACTCCCTTGCGAAAGTGGCGGCCCAGGAAAAGCAGTTCCTTGTAATATCGCCAGGTAATTGGCGTGGCCTGGTTAATTTGCTGGTTTCTATACTCCCTCGCGAAGCGATCCCGCAACTTTTTCCACCGATTATAGCAAAGCTCCTCTGTGGAAGTGGACTAGGTAAGACCATTGTGAATCCAGGCTATTAACAAGACTTACCAGACACATTAAGGTTCTCCGAGATCTTCCGCCAAGCCTCGTTTTTGGCTGCAAGGTTCTTGGACACCCGAATCTTGTGACGGTCGTATAGCACTGGATGCATCTTTACTAGCTCAATGAGTTGTTCGTTGAGCAGGTCGTCCTGGCAGTCCTCTTCCTCCTCCTCGCCCCTGCGGCGCTTGTCCGGCTCTGCATCTGCTTTGGGCCTTCGTCGCTGCTCCCGCGTCGCGAATCGCATTCCGTCCAGACACTCGTTCTTGACCAGGCCCTGCTTGTAGTGGTCCTTGAGGAAGAGCAGGCGTGGGAACATGTCCCAGTAGGTGGGCTCATCGGGTCGCTCCTGGAAACGTCGGAACTCCTTACCGAACCTGTCACGGATGCTCTTCCAGCGCGTGATGCAGGCCCGTTCGGAGGCGCCCATTTTCAGGGAGATTGCCTTCCAGGCCGCGTCCTTTAGCGCCGCATTCTTTACGCTTCGGGCGCTGTCCTTGTCGTATAGGATCTTGTGGCTCTCAATCAGTTTGACCAGTTCGCCGTCGTCCATTTGTGGTCAGGAGTATTATTCTATTCGTATTTGTTTATTATTGTTATTGGCAGCTAGTGGTGGACGACCATCGATGACAATATCGATATAAGGGGGGTATTTATTTAAGCGCGATATATCGATACATGTATAACATTTTGAATTTAACATTTTACGTTAATTTATATTATATCTTATTTATTATCAAAAGATTCAGTAATAAATAACAAATGGTTGGGAAACAAAGCAATAATAATAACACAGTTTGACCAGCTGCCTTGAATATTTTAATAATTTTTAAAACCCACTTTTATTTATAAAAAAATAAGAAAATAAAATTATTTATTTTTTATGAATCGAAAATATTACAAAGAAGATTTTAATTAAAATGATAAGTAATTAAATAAAAAATTGGCAGAAGACAGCAAGCTCAAGCTCTGGAATATCTTAAAGACATTTGAGTAGGACAAATAATAAATCTTATTTAACCATGTCAAACAATTATTATTAACCAAATATCACATATTTTTGTGTTAGTATGTACATATTTAAATCCGCTTTCCTTTAGTACAACCCTTCTGACAGTCCTTTACAGCAAATATCACCTCTTGTTAATATAATAATTATATAGTTTAATTAGCAGTTGCTAAAAACTACATTGTTTAGTATGAATTAACCAGTTAATGATCTTGTGTGTAACAGATGTTATTACCACAAGGAGTCTTTTTTTTTACAAAGAAAACAAAAATATTTCAGAGATAATGAATGGATTAATGACTCTGGTTTTCTAAAGAATTGTTTTCAAGGAAGTTCCAAGTGAGAGCGAGAGCTGGGCGATAAGTAAATATACAATAAAATCAATTATAAATATAAAATTATATACAAATATAAAAACATATATTATAGAAGTACCATCAGTGACGTATGCAAATAATAAAATGTATTCTAGCAGCCGCTCGTGCCGATCCATCAGAGTGCAAGTGTTTACTATTGAAAAGTCCCCTATATATTGAGGAGAGCAGAAAAGATACATTGCTCATGAGAGCTCAATCTAAAAAGTATTTAAAGCCGCGCGCCATAAAGCCCGGCTCATTGTGGATCGTCGCTAGCTGGCGATCACTCGATTCCCGTGGTCAGTTTTTTTCGATTTTTTTTTTTTAAATAATGTGAAGCAATAAAAAAAATTATTTAAATAATAATTGCTTTATATTTATAAATATATAAATTTATAATTTTAATTATATTTCAGTATGTGTGTGATAGCTCCAAAATGGGGAAGTTCTTTGTGTGTGCATTTCTCCTACAATTTGCCATCCTTATCAATGCCACCGGGTGAGTTGCGTTTCATAAAATATTAAATTGATTTCTTATCAGTTAAAAAAAAAAAAAAGGAAAAACAACTAGAGTCATAGATCATTCCATATACATACATGAATTCAATTTACTAAAAAATGTGCAGCCACGCATATGAATTGGAATTTGTATTACTTGGTTATTATAAAATGTTTATTAAAAAAATATATATAGGCACTCATTATTATTATAAATGGTATTTTAAAAAAAGCTTCTACATATTTTGTAATCTGTATATTAATTTAAATGCGATTGTTATGGGATGAATGCCATAAAAAAGGGGACTTTTGTATTGTTCAATAAAATAGTATTTTTATATAAAAAATCTGGATAGTAGTAACTTTTGTCGCTTAATGTTTTCTGTATGACGAGATTTTGCAAATCATATCGTCATCCACAATTTTTAATATCTTAAATTTTTATCCTCTATTGATCTTAATCACTCTATTACCATTTATCTATTAAATTCTAATTCACCTATTGCAGGTTCTATTCGGTGGTTGGGCCTGGCACCATCCGTTCCAACTCCAAGTACAATGTCGCCGTCTCCGTCCACAAGGCAGATGGTCCCAGTCAGATTAAGGTTAGTCTGAACGGACCCTCCTTCAATGAGACCAAGGAAATCGAAGTCTCGCCCATGTCCACTCAGAATGTGGAGTTCGAGGTGCCAAAACTGGCCCTGGGGACTACAACCTGACCGCCGAAGGATTATCCGGAGTGGTGTTTAGGAACACCTCCAGGTTAAATTATGCCGACGAGAAACCTTCGACCTTCATTCAGACCGATAAGGCCACCTACAAGCCCGCTGATCTGGTTCAGTTCCGCATCCTCTTCCTTGATGAGAACACCCGACCAGCCAAGATCGATAAGCCCATATCGTGGTGATAACTGATGGAGCCCAGAACAGAATCAAACAGTTTGCGGACATCAAGTTGACCAAGGGAGTCTACTCCGGGGAGCTCCAACTGTCCGAGCACCTGTCCTGGGCACTTGGAAGATCTCTGTGAGTGTGGATGGGGATAACAGGGAGACCAAGTCCTTTGAGGTGGACAAGTACGTGCTTCCCAAGTTCGAGGTGATCATTGACACGGCCAAGGATGTGGTGATTGCCGACCAAGTGATTAAGGCCACTATCAGGGCCAAGTACACCTATGGAAAGCAGTTAAGGGCAAAGCCACTATTTCGATGGAACCAACCCAGAGACCCTACTTCCTCGCTCCTGAATGGGAAAACAAGAGAAGACCGTCGATGTGGATGGTAAGGGTCATGTGGAGTTCAACATATTGCAAGACCCTATTCAAGTTCTTTGAAGTTATTTGCTATTGTCACCGAAGAACTGACTGGAAACAAACAAATGCAACCGCCACCGTAAACCTCCATCAAAAACGATATAAAATAGAACTTTTCGAGAAGCCTGAGCTATTCCATCCAAATAAACCGTTTGTCTATCAGGTTGTGGTGAAGAATGTTGATGGGTCTCCAGTGACGGGTTCAGCAAAAAAGGTCAATCTATCATTTGACAATAGCGATCGCTATTTTCCGGATCCTTTCTTGGAATCTGCATTACTTTCAGTGCCCCTGTCAACGAGAAAGGAATAGCAACATTTAATGTAACTCTGCCCGGGAACGGTTCAATATCTACAGTGTAGGGCCACTTTTGATGGGATACGTAGCAACCTAGGAAGCCTGAGAAAATTCCAGCCAGATGTAGACAACAGAGAGCGCTTAAGATTCAGATTAATACGAAAACGTAAGTGTTAAATATAAACTTATATTTCATTTCAATATCGAGTATGAATCGATTTTAATTCTTATTTTCTCTTTCAGCCCTCGATTGGGCGAGCGAGTTTCCTTCGATGTGAAATCGATTGAGGATATTCCCTACTTCGTGTACACTATTGTGGCCAGAGGAAACATTGTGCTCAGCGAATATGTGGATGTTCCTGAAGGAGTTAAAACCTACACGGTTAAGTTTACTCCCACCTTTGACATGGTGCCCAAGGCTACGATCTATATTCATTATGTCATCAATGACGATCTGCACTTTGAGGAGAAAACCATAGAGTTCGAAAAGGAGTTCAGAAATTCGGTATGTTTTCAATCAAGATTCCATTCTGCAAGCCAAATTAATCTTATTATCCTTGTAAATAGATTGATATCTCAGCTCCTTTGAGTGCAAAGCCCAGTGAAGAAGTTAAACTGCAAGTGAAAACCGATCCAGACTCCTTTGTGGGCCTTCTGGGAGTGGATCAGAGTGTCCTACTCCTCAAGTCTGGCAACGATCTCAATCGAGATGACATCTTCAATAGCCTCAATAAGTACAAGACATCAACTCCCAGGCAGCGGGGCTATGGAAAATATCCAGGTCAAACTTCGGGCTTGGTGACTCTAACCAATGCTCATTATCCTTACAATCAAGGTAAGACCTAAATCTAATCTTTATAGATACATTCCAAATTGGATTAGGGTAGGAGAAGTTATATAAAATTTAGCCTTACAACAGTTTGGCTATGTAAGTGTTTCTAGAATTTTTACCTTCACTTAATTGCTTTAATTTACTTGGTAAATAAGTTTAACAGTAAGCTGCCTAAGTTTGATTTGATTTTAATTGCTAGCTACACAAGTATCTCAAGTATAGCCAACCTTATATCAGTACTAAAGCAAACCAAACTAATATTCGAATTATCCCACAACAGAATATTATGGATTCGATGATTTGGAATTACTTAGCTTGGATATAACGCCCAGACTTGATCTTTTAAATACAATAGCTCCACAGATACGAAAAGAATTTCTCGAAAACTGGATTTTCTATGAGAAACAGTACGATACAATTTTTGATAATTAATTATTGTGGTTCTACTTGGTCTTAACAGATAGCATTCATTACATTATAACACTTTAAAGATAACCACGTCAAAGATTCGAAAAGAATTTCAAGAAAACTTGATATTTTACAAAACTGAAAGTATGACTGAGTTAAATATTGCACTAAGTGATTGGAGTGTATCCTTGTGCTGGGGTCTTTCATTATCTCGGCTCTACTAAACTCCCTTCTCCGACTGTAACCCATTCTCATGCTTTATAGGAAGGCGGTTCTTCTTTAGACCCCGATGCCCATTCCTCTTTCTTCCATCGATCAGGTTCAATTGTTCAATCGCTCACCAGCGGAGAGTGGAATCGCAACACAGAGTGCGGTCACTGAGCCCCAGATTCGAAAAGATTTCCCGAGAACTGGATCTTTTACAATGCTGAAAAGTATGATAATCATATCCCTATTAACCGTATTTCCAGATGTGGTTTATGTTTGTGACTAATGAACACTTACTTTGCTTTACTTACTTAACAAATATTTCGCACCTTTCAAGAGATTTTATTAAAAAAAAAGGTATTGGAAATTGGTTGTTCAGCGAGTTGAACTTTATGTTTCTGAATATATTTATATAATTATAAGAAGAGGATCAGGCTTAAACTTATTGATTTGTGTTAAGAACGTGTGCATCCCTGGATAATGTACGATCGTCGCCCACCTGGATCTTATTTGGAGGAGGTGGTGGCGCAATGCCAATGGCTAATAGGATCGGTGCAGTCGGTGCTGCATTTGATTTCAGGACTGTGCCCGATCCGCATGTGTATGTAGGAGCAACACTGATACCTCCAGTACCACCACCACCAGTCATTCGCAAGGAGTTCCCAGAAACTTGGATATTCGCCGAGTAAAAATTGATCCTTCAATGTCTCGTCACAACAACATCATGCATAGAAGTCATTGTACATATTCACATGGCCATTATATATTGTGACCCTCGAAAATAATAGTTTACCTAACTCTTAGGAACAAAATTATACTAATTACCATATCATATTGCTCAGGAAAATCGAGAATTCTGTAGGAGAGGCTTCTTAAAGACAGTACTACTTAATTTTTACATACTTCCCAGGTTGGTTATTTCCCCATATCAATTTGCATGAGTGGCGGAGATATAGACCTTCGTACAGGGGACGTATCCGGCATAGGTCACGTGGTAGACACTATTCTCGTTCGTCGGCATCGCGTTATGATGCATCCGATTATAGTGAGGCATCGTCTTACTATGCACCAGAGATTAAAATTCCCACGAGCACCATACCAACATCGCCTCCACCTCCTGCTCCTCACCAGCTCCAGTTCGTCAAGAGTTCCCCGACACTTGGATGTTCGCGAATGGCGTCGAGTAAATTCTGAAAAATTTAACCGATTTTTGGGAATCATTATTCATTGGCTCATGACCCTACTTCCAAATGCTGATTGTTTTTAGAAAGTTCTTTAAGGATTTTAACCTTGACAGTCCTGGCAAATAATTAAAAAGATTTTTCTAGAGTTATGTTTGTCTTATTCCGAATACTTCAAGTGAATGACCCGAGGAGAGGCAATTGGACTGCTGTACCCATCATGAAGGCCAGTGCGGAACGCTACAGCTCTACAAAATCGCGGAAGACTACAAAAAAACCCTCACAATCTGAGAATAGTCCACTTCCAATGAGGAAATAGTTCAAATCGATTCTGCAGTGCGTTCAAAATTTTAGAGAGTTGGATATATGCATTAGCAGAAGATTTTCTGAAAGAGTAATTAGTCAATCAACGCTTTTAACTTGTTCCTCACGCATGCTTGACAAAAACTACCAAATACCATTCACCCACACATAATCCATAGCGTATTTCGTCTAACTTATTTAAGTCCACGCGAAGTAAAAGCTTTAGAAACTAATCCACTTCATCCTCTGCCGCAGTGTGGACGGTGAAGGTTTCTCCTTGACCAAGAAGATCCCGGACACGATTACCTCTTGGGTAGTCACTGGCTTCTCTTTGAACCCCAACTCAGGCATAGCCCTGACCAAGAACCCCAGCAAGATTCGAGTGTTCCAGCCATTCTTTGTATCCACCAACCTGCCTTATTCCGTCAAGAGGGGTGAGTACAGTCTCTATACATTGCAGCCTTAATGATACTTAAGTTTGTAATTAAATTTCAGGCGAAGTGATTGCCATTCCCGTGGTAATATTCAATTACCTAGACAAAACCGTCGATGCGGAAGTGGTAATGGATAACTCCGACAAGGAATACGAATTCACCGAGGCCACCAATGAAGTCTTGGAGAAAGCCATCGATGAAGTGCGCCGGGTCAAACGAGTGACTATTCCTGCAAACAGTGGCAAGAGTGTCTCGTTTATGATCCGACCAAAGAATGTGGGATCCACCACCCTGAAAATCACGGCCACTTCGCCATTAGCCGGCGACACCATCCATCAGAAACTTAAGGTAGAGCCAGAGGGAATCACACAGTTCGAGAACCGAGCTGTCTTCATAAACCTAAAGAATCAATCGGAGGTTTCACAATCCCTGGAAGCAGAGATACCCGCTGAAGCTGTGCCCCAGTCCGAGTTCATAGAGTTCTCCGTGGTTGGTGATCTGTTGGGTCCCACTCTTCAGAATCTGGACAATCTGGTTCGGATGCCGTACGGCTGCGGAGAGCAGAACATGGTCAACTTCGTCCCCAACATTCTAGTGCTCAAGTACCTGGAAGTCACTGGCCGACGAATGCCAGCTGTCGAGACCAAGGCCAAGAAGTTCCTGGAGATTGGCTACCAGAGGGAGTTGACCTACAAGCACGATGACGGGTCTTACAGCGCCTTTGGAAAGTCGGATCCTGCGGGCAGCACCTGGCTCACCGCCTACGTCATGCGCTCCTTTCACCAGGCAGGAAAGTACACCGATGTGGATCCCAAGGTTGTGAGCGCGGGTCTCGACTTCCTCGTATCGAAGCAAAGGGAGAGCGGCGAGTTCCCGGAGGTGGGAAAACTCTTTGACAACGCCAATCAGAATGCTCTAGCCCTCACCTCTTTCGTCCTGCTGGCCTTCTTTGAGAACTATGTTAGTAACTTTGCACATCCATTTAAAAACAATTAAAAACTTGACTTCTCTTCACCAGGAACTCATTCCAAAGTACCAGAGTGCCATCGAGAAGGCAGTTCGCTATGTGGCCGAGGAGGTGGACAAGACGGAGGACCAGTATTCCCTGGCCATTGCAGCCGTTGCTCTTCAGCTGGCCAAACACCCGCAGTCGGAGAAGGTACTTGCCAAGTTGGAGGGAATGGCTCGGAATGAAAACGATCGAAAGTGGTGGTCGAAGGCTCCAGAAACGACTGGAGAGGATAGCCGCAACTTCCACTGGAAGCCACGCAGCAACGACGTGGAGATAACCTCCTATGTCCTGCTCGCTCTCCTCGAGAAGGAATCCGCGGAGAAGGCTCTGCCCATCATCAAGTGGCTGATCTCCCAGCGCAACAGCAACGGTGGATTCTCCTCCACCCAGGACACTGTGATTGGTCTACAGGCTCTGACCAAGTTCGCCTACAAGACTGGCTCTGGATCCGGCACCATGGACATCGAGTTCGAGTCATCTCCAGATGGCGGATCTAAGAACACGATTGCTGTGAACCCCGATAACTCCCTTGTTCTGCAGACTCACGTGCTGCCCAAAACAACTCGCAAGGTGGACTTCACGGCCAAGGGTTCGGGATCTGCGATGGTGCAGTTCTCGTACCGCTACAACCTGGCCGAGAAGGAGAAGAAGCCCAGCTTTAGGGTCACACCCACGGTCAAGGACTCGCCTAGCCAGCTGCTGGTGGTGGATATCTGCGCCGAATACATTCCGTTGGAGGAAGGTGACAAGGACAAGGACTCCAACATGGCTGTCATGGAGATCGCTCTGCCCTCCGGATATGTGGGAGATGCCGACAGCTTGGGCAAGATCGAGGCCGTGGATCGCGTGAAACGTGTGGAGACCAAGAACTCCGACTCCACGGTGGTCGTCTACTTCGACAGCCTGACTCCCGGGGATGTGAAGTGCCTGCCTGTGGAGGCCACCAAGGCTCATGCGGTGGCCAAGCAAAAGCCAGCCTCTGTCAACCTCTACGACTACTATGACACGGAGCGCAAGGCCACCGAGTACTACCAGGTGAAGTCCTCGCTCTGCGACATTTGCGAGGGCTCCGACTGCGGAGAGGGATGTCAGAAGACCTAATGAAAAATTTCAATAAATGGCAGAGTTGGAAGAAATGTTCTACTACATATATATATAAATATATACTACTACAGAATAAATGTAAATGTCTTTCGCTTGAATAAATTGAAACTCAAATAAAATGTACTCAACGATTTTATTATTTTAGTATTATTAATTCTTTGTTCTCAAGGCTTTACTTGAGGGTGGCAACACATTTATAGCAATGATTTACTCTTGGTAAGAGCTTAAAAAGCATTAATAATAATGTTATAGATTACATTTATATTGTATATATAATATATGTAATTATTGTAAAAGGTTCAAACTCAATCGTGACCTTATTGTCTTTAAATCAAGCTTAGTATGCACTAACATTTTGAAATCGAAATAAGGTTTATTACAAAGCAAAGGTTATCTTTAAAAAAATTATAAATTTCCTACTCATCTCTGTTATCAGTGATTTAAAACTATAAGCAGCCTTTCCAATTAGCGGATAACAAAAGAGCTAAATAGAGTGTAAACAAATGTATCATCAGTGACGTAAACAAGAGATTGTATTTCTACCGGTCAGCCGGTTGGCCTGTTCGTGTCGATCTATCAGAGAGCACATCGTTTTACTACTGAAAATTCCCAGAATTAATAAAACGAGAGAGAGAGAGAGAGAAGGGAGAGAGGCAGACATATCTCTTCTGAGAGACCGGATCCCAATCTCCCAACGAATCGTATTTAAAGCCGGTCTCGCACCAAGCCCAGCTCATTGTGGAACCTCTCTAGCTCGCGATCGCTCGATACTCAAGGTCAGTGTTTTCGGATTACTTAGGGCTCAGAAAAACCCATGTGTGAAACAATAAACAAAATTATTCAAGCCTCATACGCATACAATTGTATGCGGCAATCATAATTAAAATTATTTATAATTTCAGTTTGCGTGTGAAAGCCCCCAAAATGCTGAGGATCTTTCTGTGCGGATTTTTGCTACAATACGCTTTGCTTATCAATGCCACCGGGTGAGTTGATTTATATAACATTAAGTAAATACATATCAGTTTGAAACAGAAGCGCAGGGTCAGCAGACAGGTAAATAATGTTATATATACAGAAATCAATGGAATTGCTAATGTCCGATGTGCAGCCACGTATCACGGCTGGGATGCTGATTCCCTTCGGAACCGGTTGGAAAACCTGGCTGCCTTACAAACCCAGTGACAAGTCTAAAGACAGTTTTCTTCATTTGCTTAATTCTGGAAAGGTGTTTCACTGATTAGCAAGAATTGTGTCAGAAAAGGGAAATCACAGGCTTACAACAAAAATAGTATTTAAACTTGCACGATATCAGTTTATGAGTGTCATAAAAAATCAAATTAATTTTTTGTAAGCGTTATAAAAAGCGAAATAAGAAAATGGGACAAGCCCTATCTTTTAGGTAATTAATTTGTGGATTTGTTTAGTGTTTGGGAACTGCAAAAAGATAGTTAAAGGTCATTATAAAATAATTGTAGCTGAACAAATTTATTGAAATACTGTGAAAAGTATTTAATTGTATGATCAAATGGTAATATAAAGCGTATTGTATATATAGCAAACACTCCCTCGCTTTCACACAAAAGAACATTAAAGAGAATCAATCACAGATCAACAGAATACTGGCAGATCATTAATTAGCCAAATAAACATGAAATTGCAATTAAGCTTTTGAATTCTGCTTACGATCAATCACCATTTTACAATTAAATAATAATTCATCTATTGCAGGTTCTATTCGGTGGTTGGGCCTGGCACCATCCGTTCCAACTCCAAGTACAATGTCGCCGTCTCCATCCACAAGGCAGATGGTCCCAGTCAGATTAAGGTTAGTCTGAACGGACCCTCCTTCAATGAGACCAAGGAAATCGAAGTCTCGCCCATGTCCACTCAGAATGTGGAGTTCGAGGTGCCAAAACTGGCCACTGGGGACTACAACCTGACCGCCGAAGGATTATCCGGAGTGGTGTTTAGGAACACCTCCAGGTTAAATTATGCCGACGAGAAACCTTCGACCTTCATTCAGACCGATAAGGCCACCTACAAGCCCGCTGATCTGGTTCAGTTCCGCATCCTCTTCCTTGATGAGAACACCCGACCAGCCAAGATCGATAAGCCCATATCGGTGGTGATAACTGATGGAGCCCAGAACAGAATCAAACAGTTTGCGGACATCAAGTTGACCAAGGGAGTCTACTCCGGGGAGCTCCAACTGTCCGAGCAGCCTGTCCTGGGCACTTGGAAGATCTCTGTGAGTGTGGATGGGGATAACAGGGAGACCAAGTCCTTTGAGGTGGACAAGTACGTGCTTCCCAAGTTCGAGGTGATCATTGACACGGCCAAGGATGTGGTGATTGCCGACCAAGTGATTAAGGCCACTATCAGGGCCAAGTACACCTATGGAAAGCCAGTTAAGGGAAAGGCAACCGTTTCAATGGAACAAAACTATGGCTACGATTATAGTTCCCAGGAAAAGCAACTGAAGACTGTCGATGTGGATGGCAAGGGTCATGTGGAATTTGATATTAAGTACCTCCAAAACAGCTCTTGGGCTCCGCCCATGCGAATCTTTGCCATTGTCACCGAGGAACTGACTGGCAATAAGCAGAACGCATCCACTACTGTGAATCTCCATCACGATCGTTTCAAAATTGAAAATTTCGACAAGCCTGATAACTATCATCCGAATAAGTCATTTGTCTATCAGGTTGTGGTGAAGAATGTGGATGGGTCTCCAGTAACGGCTTCTGCTAAGAAGGTTAAGCTGCGTTTTGAAAATGCACACTATTATTTTACTGGACCTACCACGGAAGAGAGCATCGATTTTGAGGCACCTGTGAATGAGAATGGCATAGCGACCTTTAGTATTACTTTGCCAGACAGCGGTGTCAATTACTACCGTGTTGTAGCCACTTTTGATGGTTCCCAGAGTACCATTGGAACCATCAGTAAATTTCACCCAGCAATGGAGGTAAGAGATCCTTTGAAGATACAGCTCAACACAAAAAAGTAAGTAAACTACGCCTTTGTTTATTATATATAATATAATAATCAAGTTCATTTACTTTAGACCAAGATTGAGCGAGAAAGTTTCCTTTGATGTCAAATCGATTGAGGATATTCCCTACTTCGTGTACACTATTGTGGCCAGAGGAAACATTGTGCTCAGCGAATATGTGGATGTTCCTGAAGGAGTTAAAACCTACACGGTTAAGTTTACTCCCACCTTTGACATGGTGCCCGAGGCTACTATCTACATTCATTATGTCATCAACGATGATCTACACTTTGAGGAGAAAACCATAGAGTTCGAAAAGGAGTTTAGTAATTCGGTATGTTCTCAATCAAGATTCCATTCGCAATCCAAACTGATCTTATTATCCTTGCAAATAGATTGATATCTCAGCTCCTTTGAGTGCAAAGCCCAGTGAAGAAATTAAGCTGCAAGTGAAAACCGATCCAGACTCCTTTGTGGGTCTTCTGGGAGTGGATCAGAGTGTCCTGCTCCTCAAGTCTGGCAACGATCTCAATCGAGATGATATCTTTAATAGCCTCAATAAGTACAAAGCAATGACTCCCTGGCAGCGAGGCTATGGAAAATATCCTGGCGAAACATCGGGCCTGGTGACCCTAACCAATGCCAACTATCCTTACAACACGGGTAAGATTCTTTGGATATTTGCTTATTTTCACAATTTTTCCATCTAGAATTGAATCTGAAACAGAGTTTTAAAGAGGCTTTGCTAGGAACTTGGGTTAAAAATTAGAAAAGAAATCCGAAATTGAAATCAATTTTCCATTAGAATTTCCTGATTATGTCGAAGATGATCCAGGAATATACTTGGAAAGAGAATTTGAATTGGGCAACAGGGTTGACCATCCCCTTCCTGCTGTCCAAGGTTTTCCCGGTATCAACGAGATTCCTGTTCCAAAGCCGCGTATAAACTTTGCCGAAGTATGGATTTGGCAATCGATTGGCCCAAGGTGGGTTCCCTGAAACAGATGCCACACGATTTGCACCTTAATTGCACTGCTATCTCTGCTTTCTAATCACGATCTCCTGCGCAAACGCACTTCACTTTTAAGGATCAGGCTGTCAACGCAAAATATATTACTAATACTGCAGAATTATGCGATATTCTTGGAATACTTCCATTAAATGCGACGTAAAGATTCCTAGGGTTAACAGAAATGTATCCTTTTCACATCGGTGGAATAATAATTATAGGGAAACCATCAGATGACTACGATTTATAGATGTTCGGGTTGAAGAATCTGCATACGAAGAAGACGAGACAGACTCTTCAAATTCCGAAGATTGGGCACAGAAAGTCCAAGTAGTGCGAAAAAACTTTGCCGAAGTCTGGATATGGCAAACATCAGGCCATGGGAGGTTTGTTCTTGGTTTTATCCTGCATGATACCATAACATAACAGTAGGACACTCAGGTTGGGGCTAACCTCAGTCATTTCCTTATCACCCCAGCTAAAGATACTTATCTAACTCGTTACCTGAGGCCACAACAACACAAATGTAGTCAAAAATATTTATACCAGGTCCACTGTTACACGATGTAATGTTGTTTTCGGGGAGTTTGGATTATCGAGAAAACGTTGAATTAGATTCAATTGTGTCAGAAAGTAACCCCGAATTGGTAGTTGTCCGCAAACACTTTGCTGAAGTCTGGATATGGATGTCCACCTTAAATGGAAGGTTGGTGGTTATATGATCTCTTATGCATGACCAGCCTGTTGCATCAAGTGCTTTAGTTTGTGCTATGGGAAACAATTGTGAGCTTACTTGTACATGAAGATAGATTTGATTCAATATGCTTTAGACATGGAAACCTTAATTTTTAACTCCGATCCCAAGAAATCCAAAGAAGAAACTATTTGAGTAGGTAGAAGTACCCGAGGGAGGAATGCAACTGAGACCAATTAGACTCCTTACTAATGATCACATGTATCCATGATGCAGATGCCATATTATATCGTCCCTTGATACTTAATGGAGCCTTTCCGATGCCGATTGCATTTTCACTTGCGGCTCCAGCGGCTGCTTTCGGAATGGGAATACCTGGACCGCCTTCATTGCCACCTAGCTCGACACAGGTTCCACAGATCCGGAAAGAGTTTCCGGAGAATTGGATATTTTACAATGCGGACAAGTATGACGGACCTAAAACTTATCCCTTGGGTGCTTCAAAAGTGTCTCATCTGCTGGGGTTTCTTTAAGGCTAACCACCAACGCTTAAACATCTTCCTACTAAAACCATTTTCTAGTCGTAGCTATATTATTATGCTTCATAGGTAGATTCTAGTTACTAACTTTTAAAACTAATTATCATTAAAAATATTAATAGAACGACTATATTATTTTATGGAAGGTACGGTTAGTCGCGTAATTGACAATCAAAAGTATAAGACTCCACAAAACCCACTTCCAACACAGGCAATTAAACAAAACGAGTTATTATATGATGATATTTGTATGCAATGCGTGATTAATGGATACCTGTAAATATATAAATTTAAATTTAAATATACAGCATTTAAGGTTTATTTCATTTAGGTACGCTGTTTAGCTAATATTACTTAAATAACCTTCTGAATTTTAAACCCATTTCCCCATTAATATTTACCAATAATTAAGTCAATTAATAACAGTCAGAAAATCACTTATACCTATAAAAACTAAACCATAAACTATCCTGATCTCAGGGGCCTTACGTCAGTAGGCACTTTCAGAAGTTATTTAATGAAATCCTTAGTCGGGTGACCTCAGGAGAACATTTCAATAAGTTCCACACTAATGCTTTGTTAATATATTTTCTATTAATGATTTTAATGTACACTAACCGATCACACACACTTAATATTTATGCTTGCTTGTTCGTCTTATTTACATTTTGTTAAAACAATGTACTAATTATCTTTGTTATTTCAAAGTGTGGACGGTGAAGGCTTCTCCTTGACCAAGAAGATCCCGGACACGATTACCTCTTGGGTAGTCACTGGCTTCTCTTTGAACCCCAACTCGGGCATAGCCCTGACCAAGAACCCCAGCAAGATTCGAGTGTTCCAGCCATTCTTTGTATCCACCAACCTGCCTTATTCCGTCAAGAGGGGTGAGTACAGTCTCTATAGATTGCAGCCTAAATAATACTTAAATTTGTTAACAAATTTCAGGCGAAGTGATTGCCATTCCCGTGGTGATATTCAATTACCTAGACAAAACCGTCGATGCGGAAGTGGTAATGGATAACTCCGACAAGGAATACGAATTCACCGAGGCCACCAATGAAGTCTTGGAGAAAGCCATCGATGAAGTGCGCCGGGTCAAACGAGTGACTATTCCTGCAAACAGTGGCAAGAGTGTCTCGTTTATGATCCGACCAAAGAATGTGGGATCCACCACCCTGAAAATCACGGCCACTTCGCCATTAGCCGGCGACACCATCCATCAGAAACTTAAGGTAGAGCCAGAGGGAATCACACAGTTCGAGAACCGAGCTGTCTTCATAAACCTAAAGAATCAATCGGAGGTTTCCCAGTCCCTGGAAGCAGAGATACCCGCTGAAGCTGTGCCCCAGTCCGAGTTCATAGAGTTCTCCGTGGTTGGTGATCTGTTGGGTCCCACTCTTCAGAATCTGGACAATCTGGTTCGGATGCCGTACGGCTGCGGAGAGCAGAACATGGTCAACTTCGTCCCCAACATTCTAGTGCTCAAGTACCTGGAAGTCACTGGCCGACGAATGCCAGCTGTCGAGACCAAGGCCAAGAAGTTCCTGGAGATTGGCTACCAGAGGGAGTTGACCTACAAGCACGATGACGGGTCTTACAGCGCCTTTGGAAAGTCGGATCCTGCGGGAAGCACATGGCTCACCGCGTACGTCATGCGCTCCTTCCACCAGGCAGGAAAGTACACCGATGTGGATCCCAAGGTTGTGATCGCGGGTCTCGACTTCCTCGTATCGAAGCAAAGGGAGAGCGGCGAGTTCCCGGAGGTGGGAAAACTCTTTGACAACGCCAACCAGAATGCTCTGGCCCTCACCTCGTTTGTCCTGCTGGCCTTCTTTGAGAACTATGTTAGTAACTTTGCACATCCATTTAAAAACAATTAAAAACTTGACTTCTCTTCACCAGGAACTCATTCCAAAGTACCAGAGTGCCATCGAGAAGGCAGTTCGCTATGTGGCCGAGGAGGTGGACAAGACGGAGGACCAGTATTCCCTGGCCATTGCAGCCGTTGCTCTTCAGCTGGCCAAACACCCGCAGTCGGAGAAGGTACTTGCCAAGTTGGAGGGAATGGCTCGGAATGAAAACGATCGAAAGTGGTGGTCGAAGGCTCCAGAAACGACTGGAGAGGATAGCCGCAACTTCCACTGGAAGCCACGCAGCAACGACGTGGAGATAACCTCCTATGTCCTGCTCGCTCTCCTCGAGAAGGAATCCGCGGAGAAGGCTCTGCCCATCATCAAGTGGCTGATCTCCCAGCGCAACAGCAACGGTGGATTCTCCTCCACCCAGGACACTGTGATTGGTCTACAGGCTCTGACCAAGTTCGCCTACAAGACTGGCTCTGGATCCGGCACCATGGACATCGAGTTCGAGTCATCTCCAGATGGCGGATCTAAGAACACGATTGCTGTGAACCCCGATAACTCCCTTGTTCTGCAGACTCACGTGCTGCCCAAAACAACTCGCAAGGTGGACTTCACGGCCAAGGGTTCGGGATCTGCGATGGTGCAGTTCTCGTACCGCTACAACCTGGCCGAGAAGGAGAAGAAGCCCAGCTTTAGGGTCACACCCACGGTCAAGGACTCGCCTAGCCAGCTGCTGGTGGTGGATATCTGCGCCGAATACATTCCGTTGGAGGAAGGTGACAAGGACAAGGACTCCAACATGGCTGTTATGGAGATCGCTCTGCCCTCCGGATATGTGGGAGATGCCGACAGCTTGGGCAAGATCGAGGCCGTGGATCGCGTGAAACGTGTGGAGACCAAGAACTCCGACTCCACGGTGGTCGTCTACTTCGACAGCCTGACTCCCGGGGATGTGAAGTGCCTGCCTGTGGAGGCCACCAAGGCTCATGCGGTGGCCAAGCAAAAGCCAGCCTCTGTCAACCTCTACGACTACTATGACACGGAGCGCAAGGCCACCGAGTACTACCAGGTGAAGTCCTCGCTCTGCGACATTTGCGAGGGCTCCGACTGCGGAGAGGGATGTCAGAAGACCTAAGGGTTGGATCATTGTAGAAAAAGCTGAAACTTCAAAGTAATAAGTTAATAAATAAAAATGTCTTAATTTTACATTGATGTTTTTATTTTGAAACGTTTCTGAATTAAGTTTAATATGCGCACTTCAGTTTTAAGCTAGTCACTTAGCATTTTTTCCATTTTCCATATTAAAATTTAAATTACAATTAACAATTTGTTACTTTTAATTTATTTTTATCGGGAACATACGTATTTATTCCTTATATATTTTCTCCATCTATGAGTCTGATTGTAAATTAAATTATTATTAAATTAAGTTTGAAAGTGTGTGAAAGGACTTACGTTTGGACATTTGGTATCTTTAATTCCACAACAATTTTGGCATCCATCATTGTTTTGAGAAAACTCCTCTGTGCCCTTGGATGTACCATTATGTGGATTTCATTTCTCGTGCGAAGCCATTGGTTATACTAAATAAAATATAGTTGTACATGGTCCAAATATTATGCGAGTGTTGATATTACTTACCCTTTCGTGTTGCTCTAGAAGTTGATCAATAATTTGGATCTGATCTGGTGATGCATTGCGGATCCTATACACCGAATATCCATCATAGGAACGAGGAGGGGAGCCTGAAAAGGACCAGGCTTGAGCCACTATAAGAAGCAACAATACAATTAATGGACGCATTTCGACTAAACTGAGTGACCTATATCTGGGGACTTAATACCCCAGATCTGGGGAGACGGTTCCGTCAACACAATTGTAACAGCTTTCAGAATTGAAAAGATTAAAATAAGAATGAGGCTTTAGAAAGCAAAGCGCTTGTCTGACATGTGACTGATTGTATTCAATTTTTGGAAATTGAATTTAACAATTATGTATATAATTCAATGGTTGCTTTGTTACTACTGAAAATAAATGTACATATGTATATGCCTGGGAAAGAAGGGGAGGTAATTTAACTTTATGATTTTACAGATAAGGTTCATTAGGAAAACTTATATGTTGGGCTATTGCCGCCATAAAAGACATACATAATTTTCATTGGTTAACAATCGAGTAGATATCTTTATTAGGCTCTAAGATTTTGATAAAAACGTGAAATTTAATTATCGACTGAGTGGGATGTTTAGAAATAGTCACTAACCGGCGGCCGAAGAAGCAGGATGGCATTCAAGGATTTCCTAATAGCTTTTGCCTTGGTTAGCTTAGTCCAAGCAGCGAGTGTGAGAAAGGATGAAAGGATACGCTATGACAACTACTCAGTGTTTAGAGTCAGGTACGAGACCCAAGAGCAGGGCAGCCTGCTGCGAACTCTAATGGAGGATCAGGACAGTGTCAGTAAATAAATATCCTAGCTGTCATAAGATATAATTTAAAAGTTACTCTATAGTTTAAACATTGGGGTGCGGCCAAGGATGAGCTGCATTTAATGGTGAGTCCCGGTGCCCTTTCCCATTTCAAGACTGAAGTTCAAAGGGCTAACTTGAGTGCGGAGGTTTTAATAAACAATGTTCAAGAGTAAGTAAAACTTACTTAAGCAAGAATTTATAAAAAAAAATCATGTTACAGACTCATAGACTCTGAGAAAGCGCCTGACACAAGAGCCAGTGCAGATGAATCCTTTGGCTGGAGAAAGTACAACACTCTAGCTGAAATTTATGTCTGGCTGGATGGTATCCTGGCTGCATACCCCACCGTAACCGAGGAGTTTATTGTGGGACAATCCTACGAAGGACGCACCATACGTGGCATTAAGATCTCATATAAATCGGGAAATCCAGGAGTGCTAATTGAGTCTAATATTCATGCTAATGAGTGGATAGCCTCGGCCACTTGCACCTGGCTGATCAATGAATTCCTCTCCTCCGAAGATGCTCTTGTTAGGCAGATGGTGGAGAACCATGACTGGTATATAATTCCAGTACTCAATGTGGATGGCTTTGTCTACTCCCACGAGAAGGTAATCTTAGATTTCTACTTAATATATTATAATATAACATAAATAATATTTATTTAACTAGGATCGTATGTGGCGTAAGACCCGCCAGCCGACGCCAGGTTCCAGCTGCATTGGAGTTGATCCTAATCGGAACTTCGATGTCCGTTGGATGGAGAGTGATGGAGCCTCATCGAATCCCTGTGACTGGAACTATGGTGGACCACATGCACTTTCCGAACCGGAAATCCAGGCGATGACCAATTTGGTGAACAACCTAAAGGACAAGATCAATGTGATGCTAGCTTTCCACAGCTATAGCCAGGTTCTGCTCTCACCATATGGCCACAGCAGTGTGGAGTTTCCTCCCAATTACGAGGATCTAATGACGGTGGCCAAGGCTTATGCAGATGCTGTGGATAAACTGCCATATGGCACTGTCTTTCAATATGGCTCTGTGGGAGGATTGCTTTGTAGGTTATTCTGAAGTCACTTTAAGATATTAGAAACTAATCCTTCAAGTTGAATTTCCCAGATCCCGCCACAGGCGCCACCATCGATTTGACATACCAGGAGGGCATTGAGATTACTTATACCGTTGAGTTCAGGGACACTGGACACTATGGCTTTATCCTTCCCCCGGCACATATTATACCAAATTCCGAGGAGACTTTGGCAGGAATTATGGCCCTTTTGGAGAAAACCCAAGAGTTGGGTTACATGAAACCCAAAACGAAATTGTAACTATCATTTATAAATAAAAATTCCTACGGGAATTTGCTTTGAGAAGTAAAAGGAATATAAAACATATTTATCGTTCTTATCAACAATTTAATTAACTCATCTTTTGGGAAACTTGTTCCGATTGATAAGGTGCACGAGAACAAGTTATATCAATCGTTTAATAGTTTATAGCTATCACTATCTTTACAATCCAATTATGAGTAACAAAAGTCGAGCGATATAGCAATCGTCTGGCGTGGATTTGTGAAAAATTATTAGTCGCTGATCGCATTCACAGCTCTAAGCATGGCGATTAATATTTTCCTTATAATTCTAGCCATGATTGGTTTGGACCAAGGCATGAGTTTGGGCCAGGACGAAAGGATACGCTATGACAACTTCTCAGTGTATAAGGTCAAGCTGGAGACTCCAGGACAGAGGAATCTATTTAAAAAGCTAACAGAGGATCGTAACAATGTGAGCTTGCTTATGCAATATTTTCAAAGAATATATACTGATTGCCTTTTTGCTAGTTCAAATTTTGGGGTGAAGCCAAAGATGAGGTGCACTTGATGGTCAGTCCGGGTGGCTTTAGCGAATTAGAAGCTGAACTCCAGAAGACCAATGCCAGTGCAAAGCTTTTCATCAGTAATGTACAAGAGTGAGTATAAATCGGAGAAGAAATGTTTCATCAAATTATAAATAACATATACCATTTAAGGCTCATCGACTCCGAGGAAAGTGCCAATCTTATGGCCGCCAGGGATGGCTCATTCGGTTGGAAGAAGTACAACACTTTGGCAGAAATTTATGCCTGGTTGGACGATATACTGGCGGCATACCCTGTAACAACAGAAGGCTTTGTCCTGGGTCAATCCTATGAGGGACGAACTATTCGAGGCATTAAAATCTCCTTTAAATCGGGCAATCCCGGTGTATTTATCGAGTCCAACATTCATGCCAGGAGTGGATCACCTCTGCCACAGCCACTTGGTTAATCAATGAGTTTCTAACCTCCAGCGATGAGCTGGTCAGGCAGCTCGCCGAAAGTCATGACTGGTACATAGTGCCTGTTTTGAATGTGGACGGTTTTGTTTATACTCACGAGAAGGTAAACATTATATATAAATCACTCTTTTATTTTACTAAAATAATTTCTTAATGCAGGATCGCATGTGGCGCAAAACCCGTCAACCTTCTGATATTTCCCCCTGCGTTGGTGTCGATCCCAATCGCAACTTTGACTCCCATTGGATGGAGAACAATGGTGCCTCTTCGAATCCTTGTGCCGAGGACTACGGCGGACCGAAAGCCTTCTCAGAGCCAGAGATTCAGGCCATGGCTGATTTTGTAAGCAGTCTCAAGGGTAAGATTAACGTATTGGTAGCCTTCCACTCGTACAGTCAGATGCTGCTTTCGCCCTATGGACACACTTCGGAGGAAGTTCCACCCAATTATGATGACTTGATGGACGTGGCTAAGGCTTACGCAGATGCGGTTGAGAGTCTGCCATATGGCACTGTTATACATATGGAACATCTGCGGGTATCATGTGTGAGTTTATAATATCTATAACAAAAAGTTGAAATTTAAGTTCTAATCCTTTAATAGATACCGCTTCTGGAGCCACAATTGAGTGGGCTTACAACGAACAGGACATTGAGATAGCTTACACCATTGAATTCAGAGACACTGGTCGCTATGGGTTTATCCTTCCCCCGGCACACATAATTCCCAACGCGGAGGAGGCTCTGGTCGGTCTAGTGGCCCTCTTAGATAAGTGTAAAGAGTTGGGTTATCTAAATCTCAAGAGTTAGTGGCAAAAGGCTGGGGAATTCTCAGTGCAATAAATGAATAAAGATTAATTACAGATAATCACGAAGCTAAGTTTCTTTGCTGTTAATCCGGGTTATTTCAGTTCAGTTGTTGTTCAAAATGCGTCTGCTATGGTTGCTTGCCACTCTGGTGGCTCTTACAAGTGCTGGAGTCCTGCAGGACTCGCCAAAGGAGCGCTTCGACAACTTTCAGGTGTATAAGCTAACCATCAGGAATAAGATTCAGTTGGCTGTAATTGAGAAAATCGGTGAACTAACGAACAAGGTGAGTAAGTGAGTGAGTAGATCTAGGGACTTAAATTACTATACGATTCTGTATTCAGTACAATATCTGGAAGGAGTATGATGAGCACACCCAGCAGGTGGATATAATGGTTAATCCTGCAGAGCTGAAGCACTTCAAGGAGCTCCTTCGATTCAATAACATTACCAGCGAACTGATGATTGAAAATGTCCAAGAGTGAGTTAAAGAATTTGTCACAGCTAAATGGTTAAACTAAGCCTCTTGAGCCGATAAGATCGATCGCTCGATTAGCCAATCATTAGTGCGTGCTCATTTGAGGTCATAAAGATTCTAATCGAACCCCTCTTTACAGGCTTATCGACCAAGAGCAAGTCACTGCTACTGCCGATAGCGGCACCTTTGGCTGGACGAAGTACTATGAGCTGGAGGAGATCGAGGCCTGGCTGGATGAAGTTCTGGCCACATATCCCTCGGTGACAGAGGAGTTCATTGTGGGTCAGTCCTACGAGGGTCGCACCATTCGAGGCATCAAGATTTCACACAAGGCCGGCAATCCTGGCATATTCATTGAGTCCAACATTCATGCCAGGGAATGGATCACCTCGGCCAGTGCCACTTGGTTTATTAATCAGCTGCTGACCTCCGAGGATCCTGAAGTGCGCAATTTGGCCGATAACTACGATTGGCACATCGTACCCGTTTTCAATGTGGATGGCTTCGAGTACTCACACAAGAAGGTACTAAAAGGGAGTTTAAAAATATTTAAGATGACTTTCTAAACCTATTCCATTTGCAGAATCGTATGTGGCGCAAGACCCGACAGCCACATGCCACTAATGAATGCGTTGGAGCTGATGCCAATCGGAACTTTGACTCCCATTGGCTAGAGGCGAATGGTGCTTCCTCAAATCCTTGCAGCGAGACCTTTGCTGGAAGTACGCCAGGATCCGAGCCAGAGGCCAAGGCCTTGGTGGAGTATCTGACCAAGATCAAGGATCAGTTTAAAGTGTACATCTCCTTCCACTCCTACGGACAGTACTTTTGTCCCCCTATGGACACACAAAGGACGAGTTCCCTGATAATTACGAAGACATCCTGACCATTGGCAAGGCTTTTGCTGATGCCATCGAGGCATTGCCCTACGGCACTGTCTACCAATATGGATCCACTGCTGATGTGCTTTGTAAGACTTTAGTTATTCATATACGCCTAGAAGAAACCGATGGCTAACCCTTCTCCCTTTGCAGATGTGGCCACTGGAACCTCCGTGGACTGGGTGTTCAATGAGCTGGACAAGAAGATTGGCTACACCACTGAGTATCGTGATAAGGGTCGCTATGGCTTTATACTGCCACCCGTGCAAATTATTCCCAACTGCGAGGAACTGATGGCCGGCATGGTGGCATTGATCGCAAAGACCAAGGAACTGGGCTACTTTTAAGAGTGCGCTTTATTAGGTAACCTAGGTTACTTCTCTTCATTAAAGTACTTCACATACGAAGCGAGCAAGTCGTCCATTTTGTAGCCTTGGGTGGTGCTGCACAGCAGCTTGGAGGCTCCAATCATGTTGCCAAACCGGATGTGGAAATGATTTTTACCCGAGCTCCAAATACCCAGCTGAGAGTACTCATAGCTGCGAAGGATCTCCTTGGTTTGAGGGTCCAATAGATGAAGCCAGTGCTGTTATGGCAATCAGCAGAGTTTCGGGAAGTGTGTCCTCGTTTTGTTGTTTCACCAAGAAAAATGTAGAGCCAAAGCAGGAGAAATGGGACAATTCCTGGAGGAATAGAAACTTGGCTTGGTCCTCTGTCAAATGATCACGGTTAAGTCTAGGCAGAATTTGTTGTCTCCACTCTGCCACCGTTTGCAGGGGAATCAGATCTTCCGGCACCAAGCGGGGCAGCACTTCCGGTAGTCTCTGCAAGCTGACGTCATGATCCGCACTGTACACAAGTCCTGCCAAAAGCGAGGCCTGCTCGCAATCGATAGGATAATAACCCTTCAGGTACTTGTGCAACTCCTGCGGATAGCTGAAAATCAAATCTCCATTCGGATCCTCGCCTGGCATATTGTTAAGCCACAGTTTGCGCATAAAATGCAACTGGTAATGGCCATCGGACATGGAACGAAGGGTCTTCTGTTGTCTCAGCCAAAAGAGTAATTGGGTGATGAAATCGAACACAAAGTCCTCCTCGGGCATGGCATACACCTTGTCGCCGGTCTTTAAAAAAATACTATAGCCCAAGGGGGACTTGAGCTCCAAACGCTGGCAATATCCTCAATAAGCTCAGCTCCTCGGGTATGGGACTCGATCTCAAAAGCCTCGACTGTATCGTCGGGGAAATAAATCTTGTGATAATGTGGAGGCACCGCTGCTGTATGCCCTCGACCTCGATGAGATGCGGTGCCTGTTTCCGCTGACCCTGGGCCAGGGAGCGTTTCAAACGCTTGAGGCAGGCATCGGCCAAGGCATCGGCACGCATGCGCAAAGGATAATTAGCTCTCGCATGACCAGGACACTGGGAGCTATCAACCCGGTGGCCAAGTAGAGGAGGTCCCAGCCCCGCTTTTCACTCTCACTACAAGGATTATCACTGAGCTGTTTCATTAGCTGGCAATAGAGCTCATCGCAGAGAAGTGGATGCTGCAGGGCAGGCTGGAAGATGAGGTCAGTGTTTACCGGCAGATTGCTCCTGGCAATGTCGCCCATGTACTGAAAATATAGAATATAGGTTAATTAAGACTTAAATAATTCTCACACGTTTTTTAATATTACCTTGAGTATGTGATGGTGGATAACCAGGGCTTGCTGGAACAATGGGGCACCTTAACCACAGCTTTGAGCAGAGGAGCCTTCAGTGGTTCCGGCGAGTACTTCGTAAGGGGTGCCTTATCGGTTCTGAAAGTGTTTTAGTTTAGTTTAAGTTCTCGAATCAACCATTCTCTGACTCACTCTAATGGCTCCCTGAATTGAGTCTCAGCCAGCTGAGATATATTATGTTGACGACGTCTTAAATTATTCGCTCTTTGCATCGGTTTCGGAGGCTCTTCAAATCTGCCATTCTTGAAGATGTCCCGCAATTTTTCACTCGGTTTTGTAAGCGTGGCCACTATTCGTACATTTCCTGCTGCAAATTGACCCCACTGCCCATTGGCACAGCCTCTGTAGAGGTCTTGAGCATTTCCAGCCATTAATTGGGCACCCGTAACACCAGCCTCGAACTCCACTAGTCACCGGGGGAAAGCACGAGGCAGTCCTCTTGATCACTGTCCTTGGACACATTATCGAGAGCTATTCCATAGCTTGAACGCTGACGAAGATTGTCCAGCATATAGTTTATCATCTTATTGGCATCCTGGGCCATGCTGCACTGCAGCACAAAATTAACCTGCTGGAAGGTGAGCACATGAAGCTCATCATTGGCCTCCAGGTTAACCTTAAGTAGCTCAGCAAAACTGCAGGAAGCCAGCACCTGTTCCGTTTCATCAATGAGGAAGAGGCCAGTTGAATTGATGCCCAACATCAGTTCATCGCTGGAGAGTTTAGGTCCCGTCTTTCGGGTCACTTCGAAGAGACGAGAGTGCCGCATTGGCCAGGAAATATGAGCAAAGAGGCAGATATCCTCCTTGGCTCTCTGCTGGGCCTCCAGCTGCAGCTCCTTCTGCTCCTGCCGCACATAGGAACTCTTCTCATAGGTGGCTGCTATCAGGCGACTCCAGTTCTCAATGGCTCGTTCGCCGGGAGCCAGGAGATCGCTGGGCACAAAGGCTGTGATCTCAGAGGGCTTCAATCGATTAATCTCACCCGGGCCGTGTTCTATAAAGATGGCCAGGGCACACACCATTGCTATATCCTTCTCTGAGCGACATCGATACTCTCCACACCTCAAACCATTTAGGATTTGCTTGTATATCAACTGAGTGGCCTTGGGATCCAGCGAAGGATCAAACCAGGTGGCAAACATTTCCTTTCGCAGGTAAATTTTCCAAGGAGCATCCAGCTGACGGCGTTCACACTCGGAAATTGCATCTAGTATGTGCTCCTGACCAGCTCCCAACGGTATAAGCTTCCCATGCAGCGACATTACCAATCCAAAGCCAAAGATGTCAGTGAGTCCCAATCCCTGACAGAGCTGCTCCACTGCCTCTCGAGCTGTACTGGCTGCATCCACCTGTAGTCTCCTTGTCTGTCCATCCATCAGGTAAATGTCTAGCTTAAGGGGCTGATGACCTCGTATGGCTTGGAGTTCGAACAAGGACGGTGGCTGACAGCGAGGTCCATTTACCAGGGTTCGCTCCAAGCGTTGAATTGAGGGAGCAGCCTGCAGCTGAGCTGTTCCCTGTTTCATAAAACTCCGCAAATGTGGCTCAAAATCAGAGCTAGGTGGAAAACAGCTCAGGCAGAGGGAAAGGAGTAACCATCCGCGGGAATAGGAGCTTCGGCTTGGGTTCAAGTACAACTGCTTGCATATCTGGGCTAGGATTTCATCTCTGCAAGGGAAAAGTGTATGTTATCTTTGGTTTAAGTAAGATTATGTTCTTGGAAAACTTACCTCAAGCTCTCTTTGAGTATGCCATGACCTATGATAAAGTGCAGCTTATCCAGGTGACTGCTGGGAATGTTGAGCCATTGCTGGTAAAACTCCTCGGCCTCCCTTTCACTACTGCCCACCAATTTGGCGGGACGTTTAAGGGTTTGTCGTACAAATAAACGAGGTTTGGCGGAACCGGAAGTATTCAGGAAACGTGACAAATCAATCATGAGGTTCACGTTATCATGAGAGTGAAAAGTAGGAGATGAAGGAACATCCGGAAAGTCTCCCATGAAGCGCAGGACATGAAGCCAAATGGCCTGGACGTAGAATATATTAAAAGGTTAACCCATAGTTCAAGGTTTTGAAAAACTCACCTTGGCGGCCATTTCATCTACAGGAAGTTCATGTTTCAGCAGAGACTGCTTCAAGGGCTTCCTTTCATGCTGAGCTGTGGCGCCACCGCAAAAGTATGTCGAGGCATATTTCAAATAGCTAAAGTCGGATGTGTCAATATTATTGGGAGCCTGCTTGGGCAGCCGGATGGTATCGCCAGAGGAAACGTTATTGAGTTTCCTCAAAACAGCCTGAAGTAAAGGTACAAAAGTAGATTTATAAACAAGGTAAACACTAGTCGATACCTTTTATCAAATACTGTTCCACTCAACTTGACTCTCTCTTATACTAACTTCTAGTACTATAAGTCTATAATTCAGGGGTATTAATTATTTCGACAGCTGTAATCTGAGTGCCACTTATCGAGAGGTGCCGCCGCGGTCGTAAGCTTTTATAAATATATAAATACGAGTAGGCAAGAGTACTGGGACTCTGGTGCGGGTATGCTGCACCTGAAGATATGCCGTCGTGATAAGGACTGCGGCGATTATTTACGATCGCGTTTTATTCCATTTATCATTTGGGTATTTGTTTTAAACTTCTGCCGCCACCTGATAGGCCCTGGTGTTGACCACGCTTCCGAAAGACTTCTCGGTTCGCGGTGCCTAAGTTTGGTTGCCTTAACTTAGTTTCTGACTAAAGACGACACGGTATGGATCTGCGTTCTAAGAAACTGGGAAATTCTTCAAATTTGGACTAATAAACCTTAATTGTTTTTTTGTTTGTGGTGCGCTGCGGTTTGTTTTATTTGAGTGGCGAAAAGTTTTAAGGAATGGGTTCTAGAGTGATTAGGTGCAAAGGACCTTTACTTATAATTATAAACGATTATTTCCGAGTCTGTGAAGAACTCTTAAGGTAAGGAAATTGGGTCATAAATTGTTTTATTTCTGATAATCTTATTTAGGGAAGCTATAAAGCTGTCGAATTTAATATAAATAAACAAAGCGGTTATCGCTTTGCCAAAAAGGAAGACCTTATAAAGCGATAACCTTGGAATCTTCAGGGCAATAAAAGTGCTCCAATTTTAAATTTATTTTTAAAATTTCATACAAGTTAAACGGAAATAATCTTAAGAAGACTTTGAAAAATAAATAATCAAGGCGCTAATCTTTGATTCTTGGGAATTTGGAAGTTCATAAATCAAAACATTCTTCATTGAGTTTAAGTACATTATATGCTTTATCCCAATATTTGTATAATTAAATACAAAATAGTATGTGTAATAATTAATATTTCAATCAGGTAAGACCTAAATGGAAAAATTTATCAAGTTGTTTTGAATGCTCTTATCTATTGAAAATAAATCAGTTTTATGAAAGATAGTACGTAAACTTTGAAAAAGACTCTGAGCAGGTAAGATTTGTATGGAAATATCAAGTCACTTTAAAGTTCCTTATCTTTGGAATAAAGTAAAATTAATTTTTTGTTTAAAGATAACACTAAAATACCCTAGTAAGTATGCTTAGTAAGTCACTTGGGCAACTCATGCCCATGGTCCAAATTTCAAGGAGTCCATGCTGATGACTCAGATGGTTCTAGATTTTACTGAATTTGTAATGGTGAAATGCAATCCCAGAGGACGAATCACTGGACACTGGACACAAAGCACAAAAGCTGGATCGGGGAAAGGCCACACGACCACTTAGCCATAGAACCACAACCAACGCAGACGAGTAAACACTCGAAATGAATTGCGCATTTATAACTATAGATGCTTAAAGGGTTTTATTTACAGAGTATAATAAATATGATACAATTAGAAATAAGGGAAAACTGTAACAAAAAGCAATCACAAGCCAAGATATATAGATATTTATATATACAAGCTGACATTTACCATATGCATAATATTTGTACATAAACTGGAGCTAAATTGAGAGGCTCCAAAAATAATAGGATTGGTTCATGTGGCCAAAGTAAAAGCCTAGTAATTTAAACCTTTATAATAATATAGATTTAAGCTTTGCATATTTAGAATATAATAATTATTCACAAAGAATATTTAGGCGGAATTTTGCCAAAGTCGAAATCAATTTCAAGAGTCCTACAGTGTTAGTTATTTAAATTTAAATGTAAAGTATTTGGAAGCAAATATCGAACTATTATTTAAAAAATTGTTTAAATTTAAAGTGTTGAAAGATAAATAAATATTCGTTATTTAATAGTTTTTATATATATTTTGTAATTTAGTTTAGTAAGGTTCCTTGAAAATTATGTTTGGTTAACCGAAATATGAGTGTTATATATTAAACCAGTTAGGATTGTTCGTGGATTGACTTTGTACTTGTACTTAGGCGTTGTGACATACATGAACCAATCCTACTGATCAGGACCATGAGCTACTACCCGGGGAAATCCCCACACGAACCAGCTCCCCTAATATCTCAGCCACACCAGCTAGACGCATCTAGTTTGTTCGGGACCAGTTCCAATCCCACCCTGATCCGCTACTAGAGGCGTGTCTGGTTGACAATCTTCCGAGGCGCCGCCTCATAGTAATTGACCGGGCGGGAGAGGAGCTTGTGGGCACATCTCGGCGCATGAGCAACGCCTGTTCGAACATCAGAGACTTCTCTTTGACATTCGGCCCCAGGGGACCACTCACATCGGGCTCATCGTTGAGGAAGCGGAACATCTCATCCACCATTTGCTTCGAGGATTCCACATCAATGGCAGGGCTCTCGGGAATAGTGTTGATCCTTGGAGCACCATTGGTGGCACTGGCTGGTCTGGTAGCAAGTGGAGCAGCAACTATCACATTGGTGGGCGGTGGTGGTAGGGACATGCGCGCCTGAAGTGTGGGTGCTTTTGGTGCCTCCTGCTTCAGGGACCTGGCTCTCTTGGGCTGCTGTACTGCAGCCATGGCCAAGCATTGCGAGTGGCTGCTTCTGCCTTGAGACGCTGCTCCTCCTTAAGACGCTTCTCCTCTAGATCCCGCTGCTCACGCTCCTTTTGCTCCTTGAGCTGCTTTAGTCTCAGTAGCTCCTCAGCTTCCCGTTGCTTGGCCAGCTTCTGCAGCTCATCCTTCTTGAGCTGCTGCTGCTTTCGTCGCTCCATTAACCTTTGCTGGAAATCACGACGCACCAGGTAGCCTCGACTAAGGGCCTGTAGCTTGATGGTTCTACACCGAACCATGGTGAACTTGGTGGTCAACTGCTGGGCCGCTATGCAGGCTCCCAGACGATGGAAGCCCTGTCGCATTACCTGGTACTTACGACGCTGCAGGCGACCACGCCAGTATCTCTGTACGGTGATGATGGCTTCGCGATATCTTTTCAGGTATCGCCTGAAGAGGACTCTACGAATGCCCCGCTGTATGGTTACAATCGATTGAGCATCAGCTGGGATCGTTGCAGCTCCAGACTGGCATCGTCTTCGTCCCGCAGGAATAGCTTGGTCTTGCCAAACTGGCGATCGGAGTCAGCGGGCAGGGCAACTTCACAGATTTGACGGGCCACCTGACGGCAGTCGCACTTCTCCAGAGGTCCCACTGGAGGCACCAGTAGCCTGTATCTCTCCACAAAGGCACGGTAGGCATGACGAATGGGATAGCCTGCCCTCCGAATGCGAGCTGTTTCCATCATTCCCGAATAGCGCAACTGCCTTACACACAGCTCCTTGTCAAAGTTCTATAAGAGAATTGTTTTAATTAGTATAATTAAATAGTTCTGTAAATTATTTATGCTGCTAACAAACTAAATGATAGCTCCCCTTACCTTTGGCTCCTTGTATTCATTGGGCTTGATGCAACGTATAAAGTAGGGATGAGCCTGTGACAAGGTTCGCATTAGCATATCCAGCGAGTTTCTGAATTTGACACACAATGTTGGCTGCTTTTTGGCCGTATCCATGGGCATTTCATGGGGAAAGATATCCACCAGATACTTGTTCGCAGAACGCTGCACCAGACTCCTCAGATCACCACTGAACGAGTCACGATTCTTCTCCAGGAAACCCAAGGGGTTGTACATAACAACACCAGCATAATGACGGATTCCAAACAGCGAGGTTTGAGTGGTTTTTCCTTTGACATATATGGAGCGATTGCCATGTTGGACATGCAGCTTTTCCAGCAAAGTCTGATCCGTGCCCTTGGGAAACTTGGATTCCTCGTCGATTAGGGACATAAGATTCATGGGCTTCACGCCAATGAGATCCAGGATTTGCTGATTATCCTGGAACTCGATGTGCTGCCAATTAATGTGCTCGTTCTGGTACTCATCCTGCTCCATCTGCAAAATATCTTTAATAAGTAATTTAAAAATAATACATTTAATAGTTACTTTACCTTAAAAATGTGCCCCACAAAGAACTGCTGTAGATTCTCATTTGCATAGTTAATGCACAGCTGCTCGAAGCTGTTGTTGTCAAAGTTCTCGAAGCCAAAGATGTCCAGGACACCGATGCTGTTCATGGGCTGATCCACTTGCTTATTTATTGTCTCGTTGATCCTTCGCACAATTCGCACAAAAATGCCATCGTACAGAGATTTTACAAAGGCATCTCTTCCCTCCAGGGCAGCCTCCTTGGACAAACTGGTGGTCACATGCTCACCATGCACAAAAATGGTTCTCTGGGTGAGGGCAGCATTAAGAGGAGCCAAGGGTACGCCCAGCAACTGGGCCACTCTCTGCAGATTCGGCGTGTCATCTATTTCGGCAGCCTCCAGATTAGCCACCTCAGTGGCCGTGAATCTTAGGTTACCCAGATGCAAAATAGCAGCCAATAGACTGAGGATACTCCACACTTCCTCCGGCTTAAAGGATAGCACCTTCATGGCTGCTCGGATGTCGGCAAAGTCCTTGGCATCACCCCTACCCGGCAGGGTGAAGCAGCCTCCTTGGGATAGATAATGATACTGACTTGGTGACTGCTCTTGCAGTTTAAGACGCTCCCGTTCCGGTGCCGAAAGCCCTGCCAGCATGCAGTAGAAAATGTGATAATTGCGCTCATCGCGACTCTGGAAGACAATGCGGGATTTCTCCAGCAGATACTGCTGAATCCGTGCTCCTTGGATGGCACCTGCAGGTGTGAATCTAATCTCTATGTATTTGCCAAACCTTGATGAGTTGTCATTGCGCACAGTCTTGGCATTGCCAAAGGCCTCCATAATGGGATTGGCTTCGATTATTTGCTGTTCGATCCAAGAGTGCTTGCCACTAATTGCAGCCAGGTACTGTAGTATCAGCTTGGTGCTTTCCGTCTTTCCAGCTCCCGATTCTCCACTGATTACCACACATTGGTTTTCCTTGAGGCGTTGAAGTCTTTGGAAGGCATTGTCGCTAATGGCAAATATGTGAGGTGGCAGCTCGGAGAGAGCCTTGTTCCTATACAACTGGATCTCCCGATTGGTATAGATGGGCAGGATCTGGTAGGGATTGATAGCCACCAGCATGGAGCCTGTATAGGTCTGTAGTAGAAGATATGATATTAATTTAAGTCTTTGGAATATCCTAGTAGTTACTCACATAAATTAACTGCTTGGCATAGCGATTCTGTAGGTTCCTTAGTATAGTGTACTCCTGTAAATCTCCCAATGTGATCATATCTTCCACATCTTCCTGGGAGGTAATGTGCATGGCCTTGAGGACATCTCCGGCTGGCACCCAGAACTGTTTGTTCCGATCATCGCAAACCAGGGTCTGGGTTTTCTCTGTTCTCACAATACGTGCCCCAAAAGGCACTGCAAACTCACTGGCGGTATTTTGCGGCTTCACCCACACATATTCGCCCTGCGATTAAAACAATAGTAAATAAATAAATAAATCAGAGATTAGTGTCAAGGCATCAATTGGATTATCACCACAATCTAACCCAGTTAGCACAGTCTGCGGTATTGGTAAGAAATTGTTTTACATTATCTTTATTAAAGTGCTAAAAATACTGATATCAACATATGTTGTTACAGTTCATAAATCTGGGCTACGTGAGTCTATAAACAGGCAACCACCACAAAAGGTCTTAAAACTTTACAAAACCTTATCAGTCTTGGCTGCATTCATTACGCCTGAGAGCAATAACCTTTTGGTGTATTTTTACATATTTTTATATAATTAAACTTGAACTTGTACCTATTTTATCCCATTTTCTTCTACCAATTAATCATAGAAAATCGATAACAAGTTAACAAAGAACTCCATATCATTGTAAACAATTAAGCAATGAACCTTCCTTAAATTTCGCAAGATATCTTTAGGTTTTTATGACCACTGCCACACCCAAAAACCGATATCAAAAATATTACTTAATGACTTCCAGTTGCGTTCGTTCTTTCTCTCTTTTTTATTTTACCTAAATCTCCCAGAAATATTTGATTTAAATAAGGGTAATAATAAAAACAAACGGTAGCCGACATTGGCAAATAATTGTAGTTGTTGCCAGGCATTATCTTATCGGCGGAATGCCGATACACAAAAAGGTCTTATCGGCATTTCGGGAATCGAAACGGAGGAACACTACATGACACGGCAACCGAACAGGTGATAATTACAAAATAAAAGTGAAGGGTCACCACAGGTGTGGGAACGCATTTAAAACACCTCAAAGCCTGGTTAAATCTAAATAATTAAGCTCTCTTTTTTGACAGTATCGATCTTCAACGACCTTGGTTATCTAAAGCAAGATAAGATTAAACACCAGGTGGCTGATGTCATGCAGAACCAATTACCAATTTGAAAATAGCACGGACACCACGCCATAAAAATCCAGACTAAATTATATTTTAAAACTTTCCTTTCGCCATAAATACTGATCGGTTATCAGACATTTCTACTAATCGAAGTGTTCTTCTATGAGATCACCCCTCATAAACTATGACTCACAACTGTCACTAATCTATATAAATATTTCTACAATTAGTTGACTAATTGTTTGTTCAGCACTAATTCAGGGAAGTATTAATAAAAATAACACAACTATAATGGGACTTCAAAGAAGGACATTAAGTTCCATTAAGAGTTTTAAGATATCTCACACTATAAAGCCATATCCCTATAGTTATCAGTATCTCTTTTCCTGTGCCTTTAACTTTCGATAAGGCATTCGGGCTAAGAGCTCTTGTCTGAAGGAAGCATCCGGTATTTATTAGTAACTATATTTGGCTTTTATTGAGACACTTTTGAGAGCTCGTGACGGACATTAAGCTTCCTGCTCGTAAATACTTTAGGACCATATAATCATGGGTATTAGCACATTCCAATTAACACACGTGTAGGCCAGTGTTGTTGATAAGAGAGGCAAAAGTTTTAAAATTAAAATGAGACCCATGATGTGGGCATAAAGCAGAGCATTGCCGAAAGGAATGTGATAAAACGATTCGGCGGTTATCAGGGCAATTTTCTGATAACCAAAGAGAAGCAAAATGGGAAAAACTGCCACGACAACCAGGAAGTCTTTTCCATTCACTTACATGTTGCCGCACAAACTCGGACATGGCTGGTTGTATTATTCGGTCTTGGCCAATTTCACTTCACTTCACAGACTTCACACACACGCGCCGTTTTAATTGGCAAATATTTGCCCAAAGATTTCGGTTCTGTTGCCACAGTTGTTTCCCGTATCTCACACCGATCCCAATTTTATTTCGTACTTCTGCTCGGCATGGAGTCTCGCAAACGTCTGAGCCCTCGACTGTGGGGGAGCGAGTATTGCCAACTCTTATCGGCGGCTGATAATAAATATTGAATGCTTTTTGGCAGACCTTCTTATCGATTCCCGTGTCTCCATATGGCTGTGCTCTCAGCGTATAACTCCGGATTGGAGGGGGTCTGCTTATTTTACATTTTGCATACGTCATGATTAGCGGTATAATATATCGATAGACTTATCTGCCGATGAGCTGGAAATAACTGTATATATGTACATTTCTGCATATAACTGACCCTGCCAATGAGTCATGTGATTGGTCATATGTGTCTGCAGGTTTAATGTATAACGCAAGTTAATGCCGATATAGTGCAATCTGAAGTACCATTAGTTGTAAGCGGTATTCGTTGCGATTGTGAATTGGGGAAAGAACCCTTAGCTATTTTCACCTATAAGTGATATTTCATATATAGAAATGCTTATATTCTTATCGCTTAAATTCAAAGAAGTGAACATCTGTTTGGCGGGCGATAATTTAACCATTTTAACAAAGATTACAAATTAAATAAGTTGAAATCTTAAGAGAGTCTATAAATTACTGCTAAAAAGAAAACTCTTTGACAAATGCATTTTCAATTAAAAATACTAATTATTTATAGTTTTTATTTATTTCTTTGATTGCTAATTAAATAAGTTAATTTTTTTCATAATTCATAATTATTTATTATCTCTCTTCCTAATCAATTTTGTTATATATTTGTTGTTCTATAATTGGCTTTAATTTTGTTTTGATTGACAATCAAATTTATTGGCTGATTTCGAATTTGTCAATAATATAAATTATCTATAATATATTATATACTTATATACATTAAATATAGGTACATATATAAATTATCTCTAATAGCAACCTTTTTATTACGCAGTTTTAATAATGAAATAAATACCCCAATTCGAAGTCATTTCTGGGGAAAATGAATTCCCGGAACTACGTTTAAGAATGAAAACTTCTAGGTTCTCTGGTGTTAACCCCCTTTACCCCACGCAGTTTATTTCAAATTCATTGTATCGATTTCAATAAAGATTACAAAGTCCAATAGGTGAACATTTCTTGACTATTCGTCATTCGTTTTGGCTATCGCTCGCTTCGACAGCACTTGTCATCAACTGCGGTAATTTGTTAAGCATTATAATCATAATTGAATGGGCTTGTTTATACATCGGACAGGCGAAGAGATAAAACCAGAAGCAAGTAAACAAAACTTATTATAGTGCTGAGTGCAATGGCTTTGTTTAAGTTTTATTTAATTACTTAATATCTTAATATTATTTGAGGTATTAAAAGATATTTGAACAGGGCATCACATATTGCTCATACGACACGTGAAACATTGACAATACACCTTGGCTTATATTTTACGGAATCCTATGGTAACATGTTCTTAAATATATATATATTTTTTTTAATTATAACTTTTACAGTTATGAACATATTTTTGCTATGAACAGTAAGAAACTATGATGAGAAAATAACTATGGTCAGTCATAAACTATGAACATTAAGTAACTGTGAGCATTAAGTAACTCTGAAACGTAAGTACTACTATGATCAATAAGTATCTATGACCATTAAGTATGTATAAACAGTCACTAACTTTGAACACTAATAAACAATGACTTGCAACTTTTGAAACACAACACATTTCTGAGACTTGGCCGGCAGCAGTCACTTCGTTCCGGGGATGTGAGAACCAGTTGAGAATCACAGCACAAATGTGCGAGATGTGTTTTTGGATCAGCAATTAACTATGAGCAGTAATTAGCTATGAGCAGTAATTAAATATAAGAGAGTAACTATGGAACTATTTAACTCTGAACAGTAAGAATCAATAACATTAAGTAACTATAATTAGTAAGTATCTATAAGCAGTTACTAACTATGAATAGCAAGTATCTATGACAAGTAAGTATGTATGCTTGATCAGTTACTAACTTTGAACACTAGTAAACAATGACTTGCAACTTTTGTAACACAACACATTTCTGATACTTGGCCGGCAGCAGTCACTTCGTTCCGAGGATGTGAGAACTAGTTGAGAATCACAGTACACATGTGCGAGATGTGTTTTTGGATCGCAATTAACTATGAGCAGTAATTAGCTATGAACAGTAATTAAGTATGAGCAGAAAGTAACTATGGAACTATTTAACTCTGAACAGTAAGGATCAATAAACATTAAGTAACTATAATTAGTAAGTATATATTAGCAGTTACTAACTATGAATAGCAAGTATCTATGACAAGTAAGTATGTATGCTTGATCAGTTACTAACTTTGAACACTAGTAAACAATGACTTGCAACTTTTGTAACACAACACATTTCTGATACTTGGCCGGCAGCAGTCACTTCGTTCCGAGGATGTGAGAACTAGTTGAGAATCACAGCACAAATGTGCGAGATGTGTTTTTGGATCAGCAATTAACTATGAGCAGTAATTAGCTATGACAGTAATAATAAGAGAGTAACTATGGAACTATTTAACTCTGAACAGTAAGATCAATAAACATTAAGTAACTATAATTAGTAAGTATCTATAGCAGTTACTAACTATGAATAGCAAGTATCTATGACAAGTAAGATGTATGTATGATCAGTTACTAACTTTGAACACTAGTAAACAATGACTTGCAACTTTTGAAACACAACACATTTCTGAGACTTGGCGGCAGCAGTCACTTCGTTCCGGAGAATCACAGCACACATGTGCAAGATGTGTTTTTGGATCAGCAATTAACTATGAGCAGTAATTAGCTATGAGCAGTAATTAAGTATGAGAAGAAAGTAACTATGGAACTATTTAACTCTGAACAGTAAGGATCAATAAACATTAAGTAACTATAATTAGTAAGTATCTATTAGCAGTTACTAACTATGAATAGCAAGTATCTATGACAAGTAAGTATGTATGCTAATCAGTTACTAACTTTGAACACTAGTAAACAATGACTTGCAACTTTTGTAACACAACACATTTCTGATACTTGGCCGGCAGCAGTCACTTCGTTCCGAGGATGTGAGAACAGTTGAGAATCACAGTACACATGTGCGAGATGTGTTTTTGGATCAGCAATTAACTATGAGCAGTAATTAGCTATGAACAGTAATTAAGTATGAGCAGAAAGTAACTATGGAACTATTTAACTCTGAACAGTAAGGATCAATAACATTAAGTAACTATAATTAGTAAGTATCTATAAGCAGTTACTAACTATGAATAGCAAGTATCTATGACAAGTAAGTATGTATGTTGATCAGTTACTAACTTTGAACACTAGTAAACAATGACTTGCAACTTTTGAAACACAACACATTTCTGAGACTTGGCTGGCAGCAGTCACTTCGTTCCGCGGATGTGAGAACCAGTTGAGAATCACAGTACACATGTGCAAGATGTGTTTTTGGATCAGCAATTAACTATGAGCAGTAATTAGCTATGAGCAGTAATTAAGTATGAGAAGAAAGTAACTATGGAACTATTTAACTCTGAACAGTAAGATCAATAAACATTAAGTAACTATAATTAGTAAGTATCTATAAGCAGTTACTAACTATGAATAGCAAGTATCTATGACAAGTAAGTATGTATGTAATCAGTTACTAACTTTGAACACTAGTAAACAATGACTTGCAACTTTTGTAACACAACACATTTCTGATACTTGGCCGGCAGCAGTCACTTCGTTCCGAGGATGTGAGAACCAGTTGAGAATCACAGTACACATGTGCGAGATGTGTTTTTGGATCAGCAATTAACTATGAGCAGTAATTAGCTATGAACAGTAATTAAGTATGAGCAGAAAGTAACTATGGAACTATTTAACTCTGAACAGTAAGGATCAATAAACATTAAGTAACTATAATTAGTAAGTATCTATAAGCAGTTACTAACTATGAATAGCAAGTATCTATGACAAGTAAGTATGTATGTTGATCAGTTACTAACTTTGAACACTAGTAAACAATGACTTGCAACTTTTGAAACACAACACATTTCTGAGACTTGGCTGGCAGCAGTCACTTCGTTCCGCGGATGTGAGAACCAGTTGAGAATCACAGTACACATGTGCAAGATGTGTTTTTGGATCAGCAATTAACTATGAGCAGTAATTAGCTATGAGCAGTAATTAAGTATGAGAAGAAAGTAACTATGGAACTATTTAACTCTGAACAGTAAGATCAATAAACATTAAGTAACTATAATTAGTAAGTATCTATAAGCAGTTACTAACTATGAATAGCAAGTATCTATGACAAGTAAGTATGTATGATGATCAGTTACTAACTTTGAACACTAGTAAACAATGACTTGCAACTTTTGTAACACAACACATTTCTGATACTTGGCCGGCAGCAGTCACTTCGTTCCGAGGATGTGAGAACCAGTTGAGAATCACAGTACACATGTGCAGATGTGTTTTTGGATCAGCAATTAACTATGAGCAGTAATTAGCTATGAGCAGTAATTAAGTATGAGCAGAAAGTAACTATGGAACTATTTAACTCTGAACAGTAAGGATCAATAAACATTAAGTAACTATAATTAGTAAGTATCTATAAGCAGTTACTAACTATGAATAGCAAGTATCTATGACAAGTAAGTATGTATGATGATCAGTTACTAACTTTGAACACTAGTAAACAATGACTTGCAACTTTTGAACACAACACATTTCTGAGACTTGGCTGCAGCAGTCACTTCGTTCCGCGGATGTGAGAACCAGTTGAGAATCACAGCACAAATGTGCGAGATGTGTTTTTGGATCAGCAATTAACTATGAGCAGTAATTAGCTATGAGCAGTAATTAAGTATGAGAAGAAAGTAACTATGGAACTATTTAACTCTGAACAGTAAGTATCAATGAACATTAAGTAACTATAATTAGTAAGTATCTATAAGCAGTTACTAACTATGAATAGCAAGTATCTATGACAATAAGATGTATGTATGATCAGTTA